CACGCTGGTATTCTATGAGAGCGTGGTCCTTCCCCGGTCGAGCCGACCCATTCGTGCTACAACTATACATCTAATATAACTGCAGCATGGCTCTACCACGCATCGTTTTACTTTCTTCTCTTTCAAAAACCATAACCTTCGTCTTACTTGCGTTCACTTTCATACCCCTTTCTTTTAATGATCCGTTCATTAATGTAACCATCATTTGCAACTCGGCCGCCGACGACGCAAGAATAACTTGATCATCGGCGTACAAAAGGCATTTGACGGTTAACTCACCCATTCTTAATCCGCATTCTTCAACTTTCAAATTTTGCAAACAACTGTCCATAAATAGGTTGAACAGCCACGGGGAAGCCACACAGCCCTGTCTGACACCTTTATGGATGTCAAACCAGTCCGAGTAGACCCCGTTGATCCTAACACAAGCACTAGAGTCCATATAAAGAGACTCCAATGCCTGTATCAAGCCAGCGCTCAACCCAAATGAGTTCAGTGTTTGCCATAGCAAATCCCTATCCACTCTGTCGTAGGCCTTTTCCAAGTCCATGAACGCACAAAAAACCTTTTGGTTTTTGCCCAGAAACTTCTCCGCAATCACGCGCATGGAAAAGACTTGATCTGTACATCCCATTCCCTTTCTAAATCCCGCTTGCACTTCCCAAATTTTTCCATCAGTTTCTTTCATGACCCTTTCAATCAGTACCTTAGCATACAGTTTTCCCACAATGCTAAGAAAGCTGATGCCACGGTAGTTTTTACAGTCCTGCTGCGACCCTCTTCCCTTATATACTGGGACTATCACGGCTTTGCACCAGTCTACCGGTACCCGCTTCAGTTCCCAGCATAAATTAAACAAGGTGTGCAGCAGGCCTGCCACCACTTCCTCTCCAGCCCTTAGCATTTCGAGTGAAACTCTATCATATCCGGCAGCCTTACCTGCGTTCATGCTTTTCATTGCTTTCATTATTTCATCTATACTTATCTCGCTACCTCTTTCCTCTTCTTTCGGTGTTTCTACTTCACTTAGTACACACGTTGTCTCCTCACTCATAAACACGCTTTCAAAATTCGTTTTTAAAAAAAAAAATATTCCTTCCATCTCTTTAATCATTCTTCCATCTCTTTAATCATCTTCTAATATTCATTAATCATTTATCTGCTTAAATGCATAGCAAACAGAAAGATGTAAAGTTAACTATTTATGCTGAAGTTACATTCATCATGATCATCATTACAGCCTTTCACAAGTCCACTGCTGAACATAGGCCTTCCCCAAGTAATGCCACAAAGCACGGTTCTGAGCCACCTGCATCCATCGACTTCCTGCATGTATTACCAGGCCGTCACTCCATCTAGTGGGGGTCGCCTTACACTACGCCTACCGGTACGAGGCTGCCACTCGAGAACCTTTTTTCCCCATCGGTTATCAGTTCTTTGAGCTATATGGCCGGCCCATTGCCACTTCGGCTTACTAATCCGTTGGGCTATGTCGGTTACTCTGGTTCGACTGCGGATATCCCCATTTTTGAGTTTATCACGCAGAGAAACCCCGAGCATAGCCTTTTCCATAGCTCGCTGAGCGACCTTAAGCGTCCCCATACGGCCAGCAGTGAAGGACCACGTCTCAGATCCGTAAGTCATCACTGGCAACACGCACTGGTTGTAAAATCTAGTTTTCAGAGTTTGAGGTATACCTGACGAGAAGATGTGTCGTAATTTCCCGAACGCTGCCCAGCCGAGTTAAATCCGTCGATTGACCTCTCAGTCGAAGTTGGACTTACCTAGTCGGACTATTTGTACCAGATAAACGTACTCGTCAACAATTTCGAGCATAGTGCTCCCAACAACTACCGGCATAGTTGTGACATGGACATTAAACATGATCTTTGTTTTGTCCATGTTCATCTTAAGACCTATCCGTTGGGAGACACTATTGAGGTCATTGAGCATAGTGCTTAGTAGCGACAGTAGCCTAATGACAGGGCGCAGACCGCGAACTCAAAAAGGTCGTGGGTTCGAATCCGCCATTCGATTACTAGCGTGAACCACTCGTAACACAAGCAATTTAAGCTTACAAGAGTGGTTAAGGGGAAGGAATATTAGTAATGTGCATAGCATTGTTAATATTCTTTTAAAAAAAAGAAAAAGAAAAAAGAAAAAGTGCTTAGGTCCTCCAGCGATTCTGCCATGAGGACTATATCGTCGGCAAATCGAAGGTGAGTGATGTACTCGCCATTGATGTTAATACCGTTCCTTTCCAATCCAGTAGCTTGAAAACGTCTTCCAATGCAGCGGTGAAAAGTTTCGGGGATATAACGTCACCCTGTCTTACACCTCTCTGCAGTTGGATAGGTTTCGAACTCTGGTTCTGTACTCGGATAGCCATCGTAGCCCTACTGTACAAACACTTCAACACTTTGATATACCGACAGTCAACTTGGCACCGCTGAAGGGACTGCAGCACCACCCAAATTTCGATGGAATCAAAGGCTTTCTCATAGTCCACATACGCCAGGCAAAGTGGCAGATTGTACTTTTCGGTCTTCTGTTCAATCTGCCGCAGGGTATGTATGTGGTTTATAGTACTGAAGCCTTTTCGGAAACCGGCTTGTTCGGGAGGCTGGAAGTCGTCGAGTCTGCGTGCGAGACGATTCGTAATGACTCTCGAAAACAGCACGTAGACGCGGCTCAGAAGGGAAATCGGTCTGTAGTTCTTCAAGAGAGCGTTGTCACCTTTCTTGAAGAACAAGACCACCGCACTTCTGCTCCACGCCTCCGGAGTAGTACCACCATGGAGGACGGAATTGAAGAGCTTCTGAAAGACTTTAAGTACCGGTGTTCCACCCGCTTTCAGAAGCTCCGCTGTAATTCCATCCTCGCCTGGGGCTCTGCCGTCTTTAAGGTGCTGGAGAGCCATTCTAATGTCGCTCAGACTGACGTCTGGGATATCACCGGAATAGTGTCGGATAAGACTTGCTCTTGGATCGTTACTCACACTTGCGTGTGGCTCCAACGATGATGTGTACAGCTGCCTGTAGAACCTCTCAATCTCATTCAAAATCTCAGGTGTCCCAGAAACGATGCTGCCACACTCAGTATTCAGCTTTGACAGTTGGCTCTTCCTGGCAGACAGATCTCTGGTAAAGACTTTGGAGCCCTGATTCTGCTCAATCGCTTCTTCAATACGAGCTGTACTGAAGTTGCGTAAGTCCCGCCGAATGCATTTGGAGATCTGTCTGTTCAGTTGCATGTATGCTGCCAAATCTGCTGACAACTGCAGCCTCATCTCCGGTCTAACAGCCATGAAGTTACATTAAATCAGCTTAAATTGGTTTATTTTGCTTTAGTGAATTCAAAACTTGGTTATAGCATAATATTCTGGGGCAACAGTTATAAGTATTATATTAAGGCAGCGTTTGTATAAAAAAGGGCTATCCGCTATAAGGGTAGCGTCTTTGTATATTCTAGTTTCACTTACATATTTAGTAAAGAACTTTCACAAATATGAAAGAAACAAAGAAAGGAAAAAGAGAGAAATGACCCCTCGAAAAGGTATAAACATTTTAATTACACCAACATTGAATGTTGTACGCATAGAATGCTATAATACATAAATAATAGAACGGGGGAGTGGGCGGAGCCCGTGTAGCCACTAAAATATCACTAACATGTCAATTCAAACGTATAAATGTCAACACTAGATGTGTTGACATGACGTAACAATCTTTTCCAAATTTCGTATGCAAATTATTTAGAAAATACCATATTGCACAATATTTATATATAAATATGTATTAAAAATTAAACGATTTTTTAATGATAATTTTGAACATTAATCAAAAGTTAAAATGTGTAAATTTACTCAGTCTGTCAACACAGCGAATCGGGTTTGTAGTAGTGATAATACGATGTAATTGCTTGTATGTGTGCTCCCGGCGACGCCGAATCTCGTACAAAATAAGTTTGACAGCCATTCTATTGTGTATTATAGTATTCTATGGTTGTACGCCACAGCACAAGATATCAAGTCCTTGTACTATTTAATTCTTTGCCTACCTCATTTAAAACTATTAATTGCAGCCACAAATTTCAAAATAAACTTAAATCATTATTGATTTTTTTAAAAAGCTACTACTCAGTTGCCGATTACCTAAAATGACAAAAATAAACTTAATAAATGTATTTTTTTTTGTTTATGTACCGTATAATTTATAATATATGACATGAAATGTATTAAATGTAGAATGATTGTCAAATGATATTTAAATTTTGTTCAATTGTAATTTTATTTATTTTAATTGCATGCAAACTTTATTATTCATTTCGTGTTATCATTTTCCAAGACAATGTAATATTGTTCTATGGAATAAACGACTAATGGATTTGAGCGGGTATGAATGAGTGTGTGATAGCGTGTATGTACGTGTAGGTTTACGTACATTTGCGTGTTTGCGTGTGCGCGTGTGCATATTCGTCTGGGTGTGTGGTGATTGTACAGAAGCAATCCTGATGCTGGAGTATCATTATTTGACATTTTAGAGATTGTAATAGGAGTAATTTACATTTTTGAGTAAACAAAAAGTATTAGTGTTGGGTTAAAAGAAGATTCTCAGTTTATTGGTAGTTAAAAGTTTTTACGAATTTCATCACTGTTATTTTACAACTTTGATGAGATTTATTTTTTGTGTCTACAATTTTATTTAGCTTGTTATAAAGGGGGGACCCATCATCATCATCATCATATTGCAGCCCATCACAAGTCCACTGCTAACATAGGCCTCCCCCAAGGTATTCCACAAAGCACGGTCCTGAGCCACCTGCATCCACCGACTTCTTGCATGTCTTACCAGGTCGTCACTCCATCTAGTGGAGGGTCGCCCTATACTTCGCCTACCGGTACGAGGCTGCCACTCGAGAACCTTTTTTGGGGGGTCCCATGAAGCAGATAAACTTATGCGAAAGATGTATATGAATGATATAATAATAAGAATACTCACCCAAAGCCGCCTTGATCGCAATGCGCCTTAAACCTCATGTACCGTCCCTTGTTGCAGTACAGCAAGGCAAGGTTGGGCACGTCGTTCACTTGCTCGAAAATGCTCGTCGCCTCGTCGAGACACTCGGCGGAGCGGCGAGACAACGTCGTGAACTGTTTCAGTAAGATCTTGGCTTTCGAGTCGTTTTGGTCCGGTTCCTCCATGTATTTCACGTAGATCTCTGAAATGGTGTCATGTTATATAGTATGTGGTGACTTAATTGTAGATAATGATCAAGTAGTAAGGTTAATAAATGAGAACGTTATTTCCATACTTACTATAAATGGTATAGTGAACGAAATAGGAAAATGTGTTCAAGTACTTATTCATATAAGCGAAAAATAATGATGAATATTTTTACAGCATTTAAATCGAAATACTCGTATTTAACATGTTTAAACAAATTCAAGTGCAAGTAATTAAATACTTATTTAAAAAAAAAGTATTTCATGAGGGAATTATTACATAGGTACTTCTTATTCATCAAATTATTGAGGAAATTATTAAAATTATTGAAGAATAGGAAAATGTGTTCAAGTAATTATAAAGGCGAAAAATAATGAATATTTTTACAGCATTTAAATCGAAATATTTAACATGTTTAAACAAATTAAGTGCAAATAATTAAATATTTATTTAAAAAAAAAAACAAAAGTATTCCATGAGGGTAGTATTACATAGGTATTTCTTATTCATCAAATTATTGAAGAAATTATTAAAATTATTGAAGAATAAGAAAATGTGTTCAAGTAATCATAAAGGCGAAAAATAATGACGAATATTTTTACAGCATTTAAATCGAAATATTTAACACGTTTAAACAATATAAAACTATATTACGGAATTTTTTTTTTCCGGTTAATTGTATTCCAAATAATTAAATATTTATTTAAAAACATCAAGTATTTCATGAGTTTAGTATTACATAAGTACTTCTTATTCATCAAATTATTGAACTAAAAGCTTGAAGATGGTACTACAAAACCGCAACACGATAAGAAACCTTATTACTAGGAGTATGTTCGGAAACGTTATCAGTATACTGCCGAATACAAATGACGTCATCAATTGACACCATATTGTACTAGCGTGCCGCCGCCATATTGTGTCGGATATCCGGCCATAATAAAACAATTTTTAATTATGTGTGCACTGAATGAAGCATGCCTGAATTTGTTTTTATTTATTCAAATGCAAAAAATTATAGAATAATTGCTGGTATATCCATTAGTAGGATAAAATGATTTTTGGACCACAAAATGACAAAATAATCACCAACACTTTTCCAATATGGCGCAATTGTATGACGTCATATACTGGCCTATGTTTTGGAACGAATCACCAGTATAGCGTCGATTCATGACGTAATTTGCATTGGACAGTACACTGGATTCTATTTTGGAACATACCCTAGGTAAAACAAATATCTTTTTTAACAATGTGCGTTTTATAACAGTTATAAAAATAAGAATTAAATATATAGATCCAAGTCTCCTCTCAATGAGAGGGATTTGTAGCAGAAACGCGTCCACTGTACTGTTGCAATGTGTGTTAGCTTCATATCTTTGACATATTTGGTTATATTACATGACAATCGATGGATGCAGATGGCTCCTGGTATTTTGTGGCATTCCTTGCGAGAGGTTTAGTACAGCAGTGGACTTGTAAGGGGTTGCAATGATGATGGTAATTTTTCAAAGTAAATTATACAATGAAAAAGGATGTACAAACTATTTACAAAATTTATTTCAGAAACATGTTGGAAGCGACCACCTCATCACAGACATCCTTACGAAAAAAATATGTTACATACGTTGTGCATCATTCATGAACCGTACGGCGAGCTCGTTGCAAACAGACGCCAACCTTCGGAGCAACTCTGCGCGTTTCGCCCCGGCCACACGGCCAGCTCTCCGATAATAGTCACACGAGCGCAACATTGCTTCCGTGTCGCTTGATGGCAGTGATATATCTGCAAGTTGTAATCAATATTAAAAAAAAAATCGGAAAGAGATGAATAGCGGCATGGTATCTCGGTAGGTACCTACGGTAAGCGCAGGCTGCGGGTCGAACCACATGGTACAACTGCTTTTATTTGTGTTTTATTTAATTTTACCGGATTTGGGTATTTCTCCATTTGTAATTTATAACCACACAATACAGGAGAAATTCCCAGACAGGTGTTGAAAAACTAAGAGTAAACAAAAAAACATGTATTTATTAGATTAACAAAATCATTTTATAAGTCTATCCTTCCCTTTTCGTTTAATTGTTATAATTAACAGCTTGCTATAAAGTCCTTGACCAAGTAGTAACGGTGCAAAAATATCCACTACCCCATATCGCATCCTGGAGGGCGTAAGAATCAACAGACTAAAATATACCAGGAGATGGGTGCTGCCCATCTCCTGGTATGTTCAGTCTTCCAAATAAAAACTAAAAAAACTACAGTTGCCAACCCGCCAGCCAAGCGTGGCAACTATTGCATATATACCCCATAAGGCAATCTACGGGGAGACCTATATTCAGCAATGAACTTTTAATAGGCTGTAAACGGTAACTGTAACAGTATAATGTGTCCTATTTTAAGTATTTTCTTTGTAACTAGTGTATTTATTTATTTATTTTGCAAATATGTTTACGTGGTAAGTTTTATACGTGGAACAGCCATGCTGCAGTTATATTAGTAGTATAGTTGTAGCACGAGTGAGTCGGCTCCGGGGAAGGACCACGCTCTCACAGAATACCAGCGTGAAATGGTAACTTAGTGTTTCGTATGGTGAGTGTAGAGAACCGGAGACCCTTTTTACTGGAAACGAGGCATTCCAGCTTAGTCCTCACGGGTGACAACGCATCTGCATTTTGATTCGTAATCGAGGATAGATGTAGATGTCTATGGGCCGCAGCAACCATTTACCATCAGGTGGACCGTGTGCTCGTTCGTCACCCTATCCTATAAAAAAAACTTAACCAAACAAGTAGTCTCTTGTAAGGAACAATCACCCCCTGTCGTACCGTGGGTGAAAACCGTCACACAAATATTATCGTTGCCGATAGACGATAGAACATAAACAAGCGGAAATAAGCATTTGCATCAAAATTTCAAACGTAAATATGTCACAGTAGGTTTTTAATATAAGTAAAGGAAAACATACATAATAATCAGCTTCATTTATCCTATTCCTTTAAACGAGCAATTCTTGTATATATATACGTATATAATCGGAATCTCGGAAACGGCTCCAACGATTTTCATAAAATTTAGTGTCCAGGAGGGCAGCAGGTTTCGGAGGCAATAAATCGATCTAGCTAGGATTGATTTTTAGAAAATGTCCTTTTGTCCGTATTTTCAGGCAATAAAAAAACTGCTACAATATAAGAAGGTAAATTTTGACAGCGTAGTAAAGATTTTAATAGATATTTAATAAAATGGGGATTCGGGTGGTCGCGAAATCGGAGTGCCCTGGTTCACGTCCTGTCTTTGGTCCGACTTTTTTCCCTTTTTTTTTCAAGTTCCCTTCTTTTGTGAGACTGTATTATTTTGAGCCCTTTTCTAGTTTTTTTTTTTTTAAAACACGAAAATTTAAATTAAACTGATTGCACTCATAATGTTTTATCCAAATAACCAGTTTAGTTTTTTCTATTATGTCGGTAAGATCAAAAAATATTATCATATTTCATCAGTATGTAATTCGTATCTAAATATACTTTCCAAAACACACAAATAAAAAAACCGAGCGAAACTCGGTCATCCGGGTACTACTTGATTAAGAATCAAAATGCAGATATTTTGTCAACCTTGAGGACTAATATGAAATGCCTCTTAGAGTAAAACAGGGTCTCCACTTCTCAATACATACCGTACGAACGAACTACGAACACATCAGGATTATACGGCTATTTAACGCCGGTATAATATTGTGTGAGAAACTTCCCTGGTCTAGCCCAGCCATTTGTACTGCAGCCACTATAAAGCTGCACCGTTTCGGTTAAACCTTAAAATGGCTTGTAGGTTGGATTATTTTTATGTAACAATCGGAATAATATTACTTCAGTCGGATACCAGCTTGTCGGTTTTCGCCGCAGCTTCGTTGATCTAGTGGTCTAGTTGAGATAAAATGCTGCGTTCGAATCCCGGGTCACGGTAAAACCTAGGTTTTTGTCAAGAAATTCTCAGTAGAAGCCCCGAGACTGGCATTTGACGGTATTTCACCATCGTGTCTTAGATAGCACGTACAACCGTTAGTCCCGCGCCTAAACTCCGTGTCGCAGTGGCTTAGCAATGAGTAGCTGCGCTGGGGGCCGCGGGTTCGAATCCCGCACGGAACAAATATTTGTATGGCCTACAAATAATTATTCCGGGTCTGGATGTTTGTCCTTGTGCAATTTATGTTTGTAAACTGCCCCCCACGATTCAGGAGAAAATCCTAGTGTAGGGGTAACGTATTAAAAAAATAAGAATAAATAAATAAATAAAACTCTCTCCAATCGTGTCGGATTGCCATCATATCGGACTATGACAGTGAGGGAATAGAGTTTTCACCTGTGCTTGTGCATACACTTCGGCAGTATAATGGCCAGTCTGCATTGAGTCTGGCCGCAGTGACCGAAATTCGGTCTCAAGGGAAATTACGAGGGTGGATTGAAAAGTACTCGGCCTAACACAGATCCATTCAATTCTAAAAATCAAATCTACCCACATTATTTAGTTCCGTTCAGACTAGTTCATTGTGTGAAGTTCGAAACGTGTGCGATAATTAGTTGTGATTTTATAAATTTATTAACAAAGTAATCGGACATAATTTCCGCGAATGGAGCAAATCGAGCAGCGTGCCGTCATTAAGTACCTCCATAAGAAGGGGCTATCATCAAAAGCCATCCATGATGACATGGTCAGTACATTAGGCGATTGTGCTCTGTCATATTCATCCGTCAAAAAATGGATAGCAGAATTTAAGCGTGGTAGAGAGAGTGTGAAAGATGAACCCCGCTCTGGAAGGCCTTTGACGTCAACTACTGACGAAAATATTAAAAAAAGTACTTGATTTAATAATGGGAGACCGCAGATTAAAAATTAGAGAGATAGCCGAGATTATAGACATCTCTTATGAACGAACTCAAAACATCATTGTCAACGAGTTGGGTTTCCACAAGGTGTCTGCGAGGTGGGTTCCGCGACTGCTTTCAGTTGAACAAAAAAGGACGCGATTGACTATTTCACGCGACTGTTTGGAGTTATTTGAAGCCGATGCAGATGATTTTTTGAATCGTTTTGTTACTATGGACGAAACATGGGATCATTACTGTACACCGGAAACAAAACAACAATCAAAACAGTGGAGAAGACCTGGTTCACCACCGCCTACAAATGCTAAGTCGATTTTGTCGGCAAATAAGGTGATGGCTTCAGTATTCTGGGACACGAAAGGTGTGATTATGATTGATTATCTTGAAAGGGGTCAGACTATAAACTCTGATTACTACTGCTTCTTACTACGTCGTTTACGAGAGGATATAAAAGAAAAACGTCGAGGAATGCTCAGAAGAAAAGTCCTGTTTCATCAAGATAACGCCCGTGTTCACACGTCAGTACAGTCAATGGCTGAAATTCACAACTGTGGCTTTGAACTGTTACCGCATCCGCCGTATTCAACTGATCTGGCACCATCAGACTTCTTTCTGTTCCCTAACCTAAAAAAGCACTTGGGAGGTCAAAGATTTTCGACAAACGACGAGGTCAAAGCAGCTGTAGACGCATATTTTGACTCTAAGGAAGAATCATTTTTTTTCAACGGTCTAAATGCTTGGAAGGGGAGGTGGCAAAAGTGTATTGAACTTGATGGTGATTATGTAGAAAAATAAAAATATAACTGATTTAGTATATGTTTATTTTCTTGGTTAGGCCGAGTACTTTTCAATCCACCCTCGTACTTAACAACCACCTCGTCCAACTTACCTAGATCAAACTCATCCGTCGCATCACCCTCAATCTCCTCAGACATATCATTTTCTATCTCCATCTTAATATTACCATCTATTTCGTGATCAGTTTCAAATTGTTTCTTAAACTGTTCCAATCTGTTCCAATTTTTACTCAGTTGAAAGAAATTGTCACCAACGCGACCGATCAAGCAGCTCGCGTCCACAACCCGGCTCTTTATAATCATATTGCTCAACAACGTCTGACACTTACTGGCCATGTCAATATATTTCAATGAAAAACCATATTGCTCATGCGAGTAACTGTATTCGGCCAACGTTGCGTACGCGAGACATATTTTTTCGTATAGCAATGTCTTCAAATGCAACTTCCATGCGAAATTGTCGTCGCGGCTCGGTTCGTGCCACGACGCCATCTTGTTCTCTTTGCGAATCAAAATGGCGTTCTTGTCAATGTTTGTGTTTGTTTCAATTAAGAAGTTGCCGGACTTTTCTGTAGATTTTCTTTCACGTTTCCGGCGTCTGCTTCTCGATACGTGTTCCTTTGGGTCTTGATTCTTTTTGTTCAATGGCTCGTAATTCATTTTGATCGGCTCGTACGGGTTAGCCATTTTCGGATGTTGTTCTTCTATTATTATCTGTTGCTTTAGCCGTTCTCGTTCCTCCTCCTGTCAGTAAAAATAAACACCTATTTATTAGAAGTAATATTTTGAGGAGAAGTCGACCCCCCACTAGAAGTTTCTTATGTACCGTGGAGGCAGTTTACTTATTACACCAATGAATGACAAATGTGGACAGAGCCGGAACAATTTTTGGTGAACCATACTTTTTATTTCATTCTTTCAATTTTTTTAAAAATAAATTATATTTTATATATTATATTTAATAATTGTTCTTAGTGTTCGGCTCTGTAGCGCTACATCAATAAATTTGTATAATACTTTTATATAAAAATATAATTATATATTTTTATATATCATCCACCATCCCATAATCATTACGCAGTACGGTACGCAGACTATAACCATGTGGTGCGCAGACTGCATTCCTGTTTTGCGCAGACGATAATCATGTGGTACACACACTACAATCATGTGGTGCACAGACTACAATCATGTGGTGCTCAGACTACAATCATGTGGTGCGCAGACGATAATCATGTGGTACACACACTACAATAATGTGGTGCTCAGACTGCAATCATGTGGTGCGCAGACGATAATCATGTGGTACACACACTACAATCATGTGGTGCACAGACTACAATCACGTGGTGCGCAGACGATAATCATGTGGTACACACACTACAATCATGTGGTGCACAGACTACAATCATGTGGTGCACAGACTACAATCATGTGCTGTTCAGACTACAATCATGTGGTGCTCAGACGACAATCATGTGGTGCTCACACTACAATCATGTGGTGCTCAGACTACAATCATGTGTTGCGCAGACGATAATCATGTGGTACACACTACAATCATATGGTGCACAGACTACAATCACGTGGTGCGCAGACGAGAATCATGTGGTACACACACAACAATCATGTGGTGCACAGACTACAATCATGTGGTGCTCAGACTACAATCATGTGGTACGCAGACGATAATCATGTGGTACACACACTACAATCATGTGGTGCACAGACTACAATCACGTGGTGCGCAGACGATAATCACGTGGTACACACACTACAATCATGTGGTGCACAGACTACAATCATGTGGTGCACAGACTACAATCATGTGGTGCTCAGACTACAATCATGTGGTGCTCAGACTACAATCATGTGGTGCTCACACTACAATCATGTGGTGCTCAGACTACAATCATGTGTTGCGCAGACGATAATCATGTGGTACACACTACAATCATATGGTGCACAGACTACAATCACGTGGTGCGCAGACGATAATCATGTGGTACACACACTACAATCATGTGGTGCACAGACTACAATCATGTGGTGCTCAGACTACAATCATGTGGTACGCAGACGATAATCATGTGGTACACACTACAATCATGTGGTGCACAGACTACAATCACGTGGTGCGCAGACGATAATCATGTGGTACACACACTACAATCATGTGGTGCACAGACTACAATCATGTGGTGCTCAGACTACAATCATTTGGTGCTCAGACTACAATCATGTGGTGCGCAGACGATAATCATGTGGTACACACACTACAATCATGTGGTGCACAGACTACAATCACGTGGTGCGCAGACGATAATCATGTGGTATACCCACTACAATCATGTGGTGCACAGACTATAATCATGTGGTGCTCAGACTACAATCATGTGGTACGCAGACGATAATCATGTGGTACACACACTACAATCATGTGGTGCACAGACTACAATCACGTGGTGCGCAGACGATAATCATGTGGTACACACACTACAATCATGTGGTGCACAGACTACAATCATGTGGTGCTCAGACTACAATCATGTGGTGCTCAGACTACAATCATGTGGTGCGCAGACGATAATCATGTGGTACACACACTACAATCATGTGGTGCACAGACTACAATCATGTGGTGCTCAGACTACAATCATGTGGTGCTCAGACTACAATCATGTGGTGCGCAGACGATAATCATGTGGTACACACACTACAATCATATGATGCACAGACTACAATCACGTGATGCGCAGACGATAATCATGTGGTATACCCACTACAATCATGTGGTGCACAGACTACAATCATGTAGTGCTCAGACTACAATCATGTGGTACGCAGACGATAATCATGTGGTACACACACTACAATCATGTGGTGCACAGACTACAATCACGTGGTGCGCAGACGATAATCATGTGGTACACACACTACAATCATGTGGTGCACAGACTACAATCATGTGGTGCACAGACTACAATCATGTGGTGCTCAGACTACAATCATGTGGTGCGCAGACTACAATCATGTGATGCACTGACTAAAATCATGTAGTGCACAGATTACAAACACGTGGTGCACAAACTACAATCATGTGGTGCGCAGACTACAATCATGTAGTGCGCAGACTACAATCATGTAGTGCACAGACTACAATCATGTAGTGCATAGACTACAATCATGTAGTGCACACACTACAATCATGTAGTGCACACACTACAATCATGTAGTGCATAGACTACAATCATATAGTGCACAAACTTGTCATGTAGTGCACAGATTACAATCATGTAGTGCACAAACTACAATCATGTGGTGCGCAGATGGCTAGTGTCAGTTATGGTGTCAATCACCTTGTCCTTCTGTATGACGACGTGGTGCAGAGCAGCGAGGCCGCGCAGTGCGTGTGCGAGCGCGCGGCCGCAGCGCTCCGGCACGCCCGCGCCCGCGCCCCCGCCCCCACCATCATCAACATCTACACCGCACTTTGCTTTATCATCCTGTGTTACACACAAAACACACATTTTATATTAAGTCAAAATAAAGATAATATAAATTAAAACCCATCTACTAATCCATTTCAAACCATAACTTCACCACCAAACAAAGGCCTTCTCCATAGATTGTCTCATGGGAGAGATTTTGCCATAGTTAGTACCTGGTATCCTGATTGACAAATGCAGTTTTCTTATAATTTTGAGCTGTAACCAGGAAGATATTGCTGACTATATCCTGTTACAGTTTCCCTCTGTCTCATCTTACGACATCAGAGACATTAAGGGGTAGAGTAGTATTCTTACAGAGAGTAGAAAATTCTTACACCGCCACTACACGAATAAACAAATAAATGAATTAAAATAATAAAGTTCAGCTATTCAGTGACGGCGTACCAATATCCACTATCCCATAACATCTAATAAGTAACATAAATATATAAAGAAAGGAAATTTTCGACGAACTCAAATAGGTTAATAATGATAATGATTTTTTATATAGGATAGGGTGACAAACGAGCACACAGTCCACCTGATAGTAAGTGGTTGCCGCGGCCCATAGACATCTACATCTATCCTTGATTACGAATCAAAATGCAGATGCCTTGTCATCCGTGAGGACTAAGATAGAGTGCCTCGTTTCCAGTAAAAAGGGTCTCCAGTTCTCTACACTCACCATACGAAACACAGCATTAAGCTACTATTTGACGCTGGTAATCTGTGAGAGTGTGGTCCTTCCCCGGTCGAGCCGACCCGTTCGTGCTACAACTATACTACTAATATAACTGTAGCATGGCTCTACCACGTATAAAAGTGAATAAAAAAATGAGTTATTATCAAGAAAAAGAAAGAGAGAAAGAGAGAGAAGGGGAAAGAGAAAGAGAGAGAAAAGGGAGAGAGAGAAAGACAGAAAGAATAATAGTTATATGAAGAGTGTACGGCACTTACCGGTGCAGCGTCCCGCACGCGATCGCCAATGTGCCGCAACGCCAACTCCCGCCCGCCCACCTGAACCTCCTCCCTTTCCCCTCCATCCTTTGCTTCAACTGCCTCCTCCTCCTGGATAATATCGCATAGAAAATAAGAAAATAAACTCAGTGACTTATTCTATCATACAAATAATGACACTAAAAGTGTAAAAATAGAGGTTGACAGCAGGTGTCATTAGTGTGACGTCACGGCTATTATTTAAACGAATAAATTACATGCAGAAGTTCCCAATAAATTACTTTTATACACAATAGACAAAAGAAATTTAAATGCTTTTACTTAAAATTTTAACATTTTAACTGAAATAAAGACCAATTTTTAACTTTAAGGTTAAACATTACAACTTGTCTCTTTGTTATCAATTTTACTAATTTATTTATTTTATATTCCATTACAATAAAATCATAAATAAAAACAATTACAACAGTGGTACTGTTGTAATTTTTTATATATAAAAACCACACCTTATCGGAGTGATCACTCATAATTTCAACTCTGTCGCAGGCTTCCTTGTCGCTGGTGTTGTCTCGCTCGCTCGCACCGCCAGCGTCGTCTCCGTCGCACACGGTGCACGTGCTGTCTCTGTCGCTCGCCTGGTCAGTATCACTCGCTGCGTCTTTTGCGAACTCCGCATAGTTGCCGAATTCACTTTCGTCTTCCGAATCGGAGCTTTCGTCTGGGGATTATTCAAATTAATCCAATATACATAAAATTATCACTTATTTAACTTTCAGTAATATGAATTCATTTATTTATTTATTTAAAACTTCTCTTCAACAAGTCTACCTTGAGGTGATGCTCATAGTTAGTAAAATGAATTATTTTTTATTATTTGTAGGTCCAAAGGCATTAGGCACACTTTACGTGGTCGGCTATTTTACCACGTAAAATAGCCGACCACGTAAAGGTGTTCCCGAACCTTCATCTTAAATATTCTATTATATTAAAATCAATCACTCTTGTTTCAAGTTTGGAGAAAAACGTGACGATAAGTTCGATCAACCAACCTCTGCGTAGCCGATTTGTGGATAAGGTCACATACAGAGCTATGGAAAGGGTTATATCCGCAGTAGAATCATAGTAAACGACACAGCGCAATCAAATCAAGGTCAGTGAACTGATCAATAGTGTACTTGAGAAGGTCTGTAAGTATGGTGAAAGGAGAACTGAAGGCTCAAGGACTTTGTCAGCCCGTTTTTGTATATTTATGCATGTTTTAAAGTTTTCGGTCATCGTTAATATCTATGATCTATGAAAGTAAATATTAATACAATAAAGAAAACACTTATATTAAATTTTAGTAAAGTTCCGTTCTTTCTTTATTATAAAAAATTATAATAAAGAAAAAACGGATTAGTAAGCTGAAGTGGCAATGGGCCGGCCATATAGCTCGAAGAACCGATATCCGATGGAGGAAAAAGATTCTCGAGTGGCAGCCTCGTACCGGTAGGCGTAGTGTAGGGCGACCCCCATTAGATGGTGTGACAACCTGGTAAGACATGCAGGAAGTCGATGGATGCAGGTGGCTTAGGACCGTGCTTTGTGGCATACCTTGGGGGAGCCCTATGTTCAGCAGTGGACTTGTGAAGGGCTGTAATGATGATGATGATGAAAGAAAACACTTCCTCACCTTTAAAATCCGGACAGGCCGGATTGGTTGTCGCTGGAACGTACAGATCGGCGAGCATGTAATGAGACGACGCCACTATTTGAGGATACCTCTCCACTTTGAGCAACTTTACAACGTGTTCCAACAAGTTTTTGACGTGTTTCGACCTGTTCGTCAATCGCATATTCCTCGCGACGCGATATAGTAACATTGCTACGGGCGTGGTGAATGGATTGTCCATACTGTCTGGACACAGAGACGTCAAGTCGTACAACTTGACCACATCGTCATGTGGCCCCTTGAACAGCCAATAAGTGTGTCCAGCTTTGGTAACGTTGGATTTGAGAAAGGAGAGAATATTCTGAGCGACGTTCCTTATGACTTTAGGGGAAAATCTGGAGTTTTCCATATTGGGCAGGTCCTCGGTCTTCATAGGTTCATATTTCTGGACAATGCCATCTAGATGGTAGCACATCAGGACTTCGGGAACGTTGCACATTAAGTTATCAAGCCAGTAATCTATCCCGGTAAGGACATTGATGGGTTCCCTCGCATCCCTCAAGCGAAGGCTTACGCAAGGCCTGTCCTTATCGCCAAATATCGGAAGATCGCTGCCGACCAACATGTGAATATCTTCGAAGGTCCAGAGAACGTTTCTATTGTAGAGGTGCTCATTGGGTGGGCCTTCCACTTTTGTTTCGGGTTCCGGTAGAAATGGTCCTGGAAATAAAAAAGTATCTATAAAAATATTTTTTCTTTGCTATATATATATATATATATATTGTTGTTGTTGTGTGTTGAAAATGGTACAACTACAAACCCTTATTCGTTTTTATTCGTCATAATTACTGTCACCATCTAGTGGCGGTGTAAGAATATCCAGCACCTTATATCGTCCCTTTAGTGTCGGTCCCTTTTGACGGGCAGCAGCGTGTTTCTAATAAAAACTAAAGAATTTACAAAAACTAGATTAATTAGGTTACGAACCAGTCTGCCATGGTGCCCCTATTCAGCAATAGACTTTTGATAGGCTGTAACAGTAACATTATAAGTACATATTGTCAATCTAAGATGCCAGATCTGAGATTGAAATAATTTCAACATAAGATTTAAAAAAAAAATCCAATAAACAATAGTGCAATAGACACATCATATCAATTTAAATACTTTTTCGAACCCTCAAATCAAAACCTTTCTGTAGACATTTTATGAGAATAGCAGTAAATGACGTAAAAGTTTCTTGATGTCAAAGCATATTATTTGTATATATTTTTTTTAAATAAGATAAGGGTTACAAACGAGCACACAGTCCACCAGGTGGAAAGTGGTTGCTGTGGTTCATAGACATCAGTTCATTCAGTAACCTAGACGGCTCGATGGATTTTAAAATTTGATGACGTCTTAGTTTTGGAAGTAATAGAGTTTTCTCTTTTCAGTAAACTTTATAAGCAGTCGGGTTTCTTTAATCTCTATTTTAACCACTGGAATTGTTGAATAACAAAAACCCATAACGATTTCTTAAATTTACGCGAACACTACACATTGAGTAAAACTAAATTTACGGATTTTATCGCGTTTATTTCACTACTTTTACCTATTTTTAATTCCCGACGTTTCGGGTGCTTTACAGCACCCATGGTCACGGGGGGGGACTGAGATGTTTGACGTACCAATGTCATAGTTAGTCCGGCTACTTTCAGTTTTTGAATATTAATTTTTGGTCCGATTTACGCAAAACGAGCTTATAGTATCAAATGATACTATAAGATAATGATACTATAAGCTCGTTTTGCGTAAATCGCACGTGTACGATATAAAAAAGCTGTATTAGTCGAATAATTTATTGTGTGTTACTTGGCGCCATCCTGAATAAATGTCAGTGTATGTTATTGGTACTACGATAATCAGATGCAGCGCTGCAGCACGCTGTGCGACAGGAACTGCTGCGTGAGCTGTAGCGCTGGTGCATTAGGTGTTGACTGACCTGCGAGGCACACGGGCGTGGTGTGGGTGCAGTTGGGCTGCAGCGGCTGCGGCGGGCGCTGCAGCACGCTGTGCGACAGGAACTGCTACGTGAGCTGCAGCGCTGGTGCATTAGTTGTTGATTGACCTGCGAGGCACACGGGCGTGGTGTGGGTGCAGTCGGGCTGCAGTGGCTGCAGCGGCTGCGGCGGGCGCTGCAGCACGCTGTGCGACAGGAACTGCTGCGTGAGCTGCAGCGCTGGTGCATTAGGTGTTGATTGACCTGCGAGGCACACGGGCGTGGTGTGGGTGCAGTCGGGCTGCAGCGGCTGCAGCGGCTGCGGCGGGCGCTGCAGCACGTTGTGCGACAGGAACTGCTGCGTGAGCTGCAGCGCTGGTGCATTAGGTGTTGACTGACCTGCGAGGCACACGGGCGTGGTGTGGGTGCAGTCGGGCTGCAGCGGCTGCAGCGGCTGCGGCGGGCGCTGCAGCACGCTGGGCGACAGGAACTGCTGCGTGAGCTGCAGCGCTGGTGCATTAGGTGTTGACTGACCTGCGAGGCACACGGGCGCGGTGTGGGAGCAGTCGGACTGCAGCGGCTGCAGCGGCTGCGGCGGGCGCTGCAGCACGCTGTGCGACAGGAACTGCTACGTGAGCTGCAGCGCTGGTGCATTAGGTGTTGACTGACCTGCGAGGCACACGGGCGTGGTGTGGGTGCAGTTGGGCTGCAGCGGCTGCGGCGGTGCGGCGGGCGCTGCAGCACGCTGTGCGACAGGAACTGCTGCGTGAGCTGCAGCGCTGGTGCATTAGGTGTTCACTGACCTGCGAGGCACACGGGCGTGGTGTGGGTGCAGTCGGGCTGCAGCAGCTGCGTCGGGCGCTGTAGCACGCTGTGCGACAGGAACTGCTGCGTGAGCTGCAGCGCTGGTGCATTAGGTGTTGATTGACCTGCGAGGCACACGGGCGTGGTGTGGGTGCAGTCGGGCTGCAGCGGCTGCAGCGGCTGCGGCGGGCGCTGCAGCACGCTGTGCGACAGGAACTGCTGCGTGAGCTGCAGCGCTGGTGCATTAGGTGTTGACTGACCTGCGAGGCACACGGGCGTGGTGTGGGTGCAGTCGGGCTGCAGCGGCTGCAGCGGCTGCGGCGGGCGCTGCAGCACGCTGTGCGACAGGAACTGCTGCGTGAGCTGCAGCGCGCGCCGCGCCGCGCCCCCGCCCACACGCAGCCCCGTCAGCGACATGCGCTCCTACGATCAACTCATCACATCATGACCATATTCCTGGACACTTCTGCCCCTAACTGGCACTACACCTTGGTAGTAAATGGATGCTGAGTCCATAGCCTCTTTTTACAGAAAACCAGACATTTTATTTTGAAAAACTGATGGTATATTCAACCGAAAATGCCCCATGGGGAATACTAACCATAGTTACCCCTTACAAAATCCACAAGGCGCAATGGGATGATGGATTCTCTTGCATTATCAACATGCAGCAGAGAGTTAAAATCAGACAAATGTTTTTTTTTTTTTGTAGAATAATGTGACAAACTATCATGCAGTCCACCTGATGTTAAATGGATGCCGTCATCTATGGACATCTACATCTTTACTTGAATAAAAACTTAGATTTGTTGTCACACCTGAGGACTAAGATTGAATGCCTTGTTTCCAATTAAAAGGGTTTCCAGTTCTCTATGCTCACCATACAAAACAAAAAAAGAAGCATTAATTTGCTACTTTACAGGGGAATTTAAAATATTAGTTATTATATAAAATATAAATAGTTATACAAAATTCTTACCTGTTCAGACATGGTTTTCACAATGTTTTCATAAAAGAAATCTTTTAGCCAGGACCACTCAGATTTCATCAAGTAGTCATAGACATCAAAGTCATCAAGTAACAATGTATTCTCCACTCTGTGAACCATCATGCTCACCTATAGCCAAAGATAAATAAAACACAATCGATTAATGAAGCTTTTATAAATGGTAGGGCTTTTACATTCTCGGTGGCGAACAAAACCATACAAACCTTACAGAGAAATAAAGTTCATGCATTAAAGTTTGTGAAGTCTATCAACTCACACTATTAAGTAAATTTTAAATAAAAAAATTTAATTAAGCAACACTTGAAACCCACTTTTCTAAATTAAATTCTTTTGTATTGTTAAATACCTACATTGATGGGATTTTAAGTATAATAACTGGCTTAAAAAAAATGAGAAGAGCAGTCCGATGAGACAATATACATAATAGTATACTTAAAAGATTTAAACATTTACTGGCTGCCCCGTTATCACATATCTTTCAATTATGCCTACCTAAAGGTATTTCCCGAAAGTGCTTAAAAAGCTGTGGTTTCTCCTATATATAAAGCTGGCAATAAAAACTTAGTAACTATAGGCCGATTTCAGTTTTATAAGGTTTATCTAAAATATTTTAAAAAAAATAGCGGGTTATTAAAATACCCGGAAACTAACAATTTGCTCTCAGATAGACAATTTGGTTTTAGGCCTAAGAGATCTTGTAACAATGCCTTGCACCAATTGATAGATTACTTGTGACATAATCTTGACTATGGTATACACTCAATTGGGATTTTTTTAGACTTTGCTAAAGCATTTGATACTATCTCTTGTCCTATACTATTGCAAAAGCTTGAAACACTTGGCATAAGGGGAACTCAACCACAACTTTTTACCGATTACCTTAGTGATCGCTCTCAATGTATTAAAATCAGTGAGTATACAAGTACTGAATTACAAAAACAGCTCTTATGGCATCTTACAGGGCAGTATCCTTGGGCCTACATTGTTCCTAAAGTTACAGCCTATATACGTCCCACACAGGCCACCCCTCATTTCTGAGGGTTTTAGGGCAAGGAAGTGTCTGCCGCGCTGCCCCAATGCCTGTTGGCGAGCTTCACATGTCTTGGTGGCACGTAGTAAATCAGCATTTAAAATTGCAATTAACAATTTCATTGGTGCCGGCGGGGCTCGAACCCGGGTTAGTCGCGTTCTGTTATATTTACAGCAAGCGTTAACCATCTGAGCCACCACGACTCTTACATTGTTCCTAATTTATATAAATGGCTTATGCAATCTCCAACTTCAAAATGGTATCATGTCATATGTGGATAACACAGCCCTAATGTTCTCAGCTAAATCATATGATGAGGTTTATAAATACGCTCAGCAAGGCTTTAATATAGTATTTAATTGGCTCCTTAACAATCTCCTAAATTTAAACGCAGACAAAACACAATATATGTTATTTTTAATGAATTAATATATGGATTTTGGATGTAAAGGAGGCGAAAGAGGTATGTCAGGATCGTGCCAAATGGAAGTATGTAGTCTCTGCCTACCCCTCTGGGTGACAGGCGTGAGTGTTTATGTTAATTATGTTATGTTGTGTTTTAATGAGAAACAGTAACATACCTACTCATCTAAATATTTACGCTTATTAACAATAACAGACAATATAAAATAGCTAGGTATCACCCTTGACATAAATTTAAATTTCCACAAGCAAATCAATTTACTTTGAGCTAGAGTTCGTAAATTAATATATATATATATAAGACAGGTCTATTTAGCTTTGTGTCAATCCGTACTCACTTATGGCATTGCTTCCTGGAGTGCTCCTTATAAAACAATAATGCTTCCACTAGAACATGCTCAGAGAGCAAGTTCTAAAGGTAGCCACTTTCCGTCCCTTCATGTTTCCGACACATCAACTTTACTTGGCAAGTAGTGTACTAACTGTCTATCAGTTGTTTATTCTGAACATCATATCAAAACAGCATACCGAACTTCCATTTAATTTAAAATCCATTGACAGGAGAAGAATGGACTTAGTTTGCGTAAACTCAAACCATACACACATTTGTGAACAGATTTTACATATTTTTAGGACCATTTCTATCACTAAAGATCACTTAAGTGACTAAAGATATATAGTGTAAGTAAAGTAAAGTTACAGCCTATATACGTGCCACTGCTGGGCATAGGCCTCCTCTCATTTCGGAGAGGGTTTTAGGACAAGGAAGTGTCCACCGTGCTGCCCCAATGCGTGTTGGCGAACTTCACATGTCTTCGAAATATATATTTTTTTTTTATTTTTCAGACATGCCGGTTTCCTCACGATGTTTACCTTTATCGCCGAGCACGCGGTAAATTTTAAAGAGCACTTAAAATTGCAACAATTTCATTGGTGCCGGCGGGGATCGAACCCGGTTTTCTCGCGTACTGTAAAATTTACAGCGAGCGCTAACCATCTGAGCTTCCACGGCTCTATATATAGTAATATATATAGCGTAAGTTATAAGATATGTAATATAATAATTGTAAGGCAATTTCTCAATAAATTAAATTACGAAGACACAGATAAGTTGTTAGAAATTCTAAAATAATTTTGTATTAATAGTAGGTTACTAATAATTGTTATTTAAATACTTTATTTATTATATAATAAAGTTTAATTATTTAAACTATCTTGTGTCCTATATTATAAAACCCATAGTGTAAGCGATGGTCTGAAACGCAGGTACTCAACCAAGTTCAGACAGGTATCTAATATTACAAACTTGAGTTTTCAATTTTTCTTTTGTAAATTCTACATTATCATTGCATGTTATTTTTATGACTTATTGTTACTTTCTTTAATTGTAATCAGATATGTTCCTCTATGTAAACATATGTTTAAAAATGAAATTAGAATAATTATTATTGGGGTATCAATATAGTTTTGTCATCTGGTTGGGTTCTATAAATATATAATTATAAATGAAAATGAAAAGATAACATAAATAAATAAAAGCCCAACCAGATGGAGGCCCTCGGCACGGGAGACCTAACGGCCGAGGGTTAGGGGGAAAGGGAAAGAAACCGGCGGACGATGCGGGCGGTATCGAGGAGCACCGCCTTCTGCATTTGAGCCCGGAGCGGTCCGTCACGGAGTCCCAGTCGCCTCAGATGACCCGAGAGGCTGTCTGGGATTAGCCCATTCGCAGAGACGATTACAGGAATAATTTCGGCCGGCATACCACCCCACATGTCGGTCACCTCGTGAGCCAGGTCCAGATATTTTGTTCGCTTATCTGTTTCGGCTTTCACGAGGTTCTCGTCATACGGAATGGTAATGTCGACCAAAAATATCCTTGACTGTGCCCGGTCCATCAGCACAATATCAGGCTTATTCGCAAGAATAGTCCTGTCTGTGATGATGGCCTGGTCCCAGTAGAGCCTGGCGCGGTCATTTTCGAGCACGGCTTCCGGCAAGTACTTGTAATACGGCAATTTTCAGTCCACGAGACCGTATTTCAGAGCGAGCTCCTGGTGTAGAATTCTGGCTACTAGGTTGTGCCTGTGCAAGTACTCAGAGTTAGAAAGCGCCTAACAACCGGAGTTGAAATGCCTAAGTGACTCCCCGGGATGGCGACAAGCTCGACAGACGTCGACAGTGCCATCCTTTAGGATGTATCTCCGATAGTTGTTGGTCTTAATAACCTGATCCTGTATTGCACAGACAAAACCCTCGGTTTCCCCGAAGATGTCACCGAAACGTAGCCAGTTGATGGAGGCGGCTGAATCAACGTGGGGCTCATGTAGAGCCCTGGAGTACCTCCCGTGGAGCTCCTTCTCCTTCCATACGGTCTCCCGGTCGGAAATGCTCTGTACTGCCGGGTCTTGCCATTGCTCGTTGGCTAAGGATAGAGGGGTAAGTCCTTTATCACTAGAAATGACGTCATTATGGAATGGATCATCCGATCTCGCCAGGAAGTAATGACGGAGGCTGCACACTTCGCGATTATGCATGGTGAGCGCGCTCAGGAAGCCACGCCCATCATGCTTTCGCGGCATGTACAGCCTCATTACCGACGATCTCGCATGATGCATCCTATGGGACGTCATTGTAGTGCGGACTTTTCTATCCAGGGCGTTAAGTTCAGTCTGACTCCACCGGAGTATGCCAAAGGTATACATGAGGACTAGTGGTCCCCAAAATCGGTCTTGGTCTTGCAGTTTTGGTCTTATTCTTGCATTTATCAAGACCAAGACTAAGAATAAGACCGCCTAATTTTAGCAAGACCAAGACCAAGACTGACCGTGCAAGATTTGAGCAAGAACAAGAATAAGCCTGCGAGACTCTTGCGTCTTGCAGTTAGGAATGAGTGTCGTTTCATGGAGTATAGGAGTTCGGGTATATGCTTAGGGACTCTATGAGACGCAAAAAATATATAAAAAATTTGGAAAATTGGACTTATGCGCATTACGAACAATACCATAAACATACATAGCGGATGAAAATATCCATTAAAAGAAAAAACAGTGCATCCCTAGTTTTGACCATCGGCACTTTGATAGTGCGCGGCGTCTTGTTGTCGGCATCATCAAAGGTCGAATACTGACTTGTCAAAGAAATTTTGCAGCTATTCGGAAGTACAAGGTCAAGATACACGCGCCGGCGACTTCTATTGATATCGCATTCAATCGTCGCCGCCGCGCCGCACGCACTACATTTGACACTGTTTGAATGCCGCCACAGAGTACATGTTCCAAAGAATAAAATAAGTTTCCGGGTGCTCAGAATGGACACGAATACATTATGCTGATCTCGCAAGGAATATTGTAATTAGATAATGGTAAGGATAGGTAGATACCATAATAATTTATTCTAGTAATTATTATAATATTAACTATATGGGTTTATAATAATTACTCACTATTATTATTATTACCTAATATATAAACATGTTCAATAAGTTCACTGCAAATCTCGATTTTTGGAAGTGTGTGTTTTTGAACACAAAGTGTTCGAATATGTCGTCACCCATTTGATGAATATTGTAGACACTTTTAACACACTTGAAACGTGTAAACATTTTGTACAATGCTAATCGAATAATATAAAAAGTGTGCATATTAAATAAAAA